CGACCAAGCTACCAGTCTATTAGCGAGAGAGTCGAGCCGATACGGGAGCAGATGGAAGGTTAGCGTACTGATACGATCTGTTTGTTTTCTCATGTACGTATTTATTAAAACACAAGCGTATCTATACGCATACCTTTGAAAATTACATGCGTATTTGTATGAAATTCATGCGTATTTACGCAAATACGCAAGCTATCTGGTGCACTGGCTTTAACTGACAACTGTGGATTGTTGCAGTATCATGATTGAGTATATGCCTTCAAACATCATGAAGCAGGAAGTTTTTCAAAATCGAACTGAAATCGAACACATTTTCAATAACCTCATAACTGCAAAGATTAGTCTTCATTCTCCAAGAAACTATATCGAATACAGACAGAGACAAAGTTAATCAAATAAACATATCAACACTGTGGATTGTAATATAAACAGAGTGGCTATATGCCCGGCAGCCGGCATATATATGACGGCTGCCGGGCACGGTCTTCGATTTCTTAAATGCCTGGCAGTTTTTAATTTTCAGCGTTATCTCAATTAAACAAGGGTTAGGGTTAGGGTTAGGAACTGCCAGGCATTTAGGAAATCGAAGACTGCGCCCGGCTGCCGGGCATATTGCCACAGCGTAATATAAAAGCTTCAATTTTACAATTAGAAAAAAATAAAATTAGAAGAAAGACAATGAAGAAGAAATAGAATTCCAACCTCAAAACTATCATGTTAGCTATTGGATGCCCATCTCACAGCTTTATTCTGTATGGCATCTAATTTATAACAGTTCTAAAGCATTGGGGGACTTGCCTGGCATGATTATGCAATGTTAATGTAGGCCTAATGAAAAATTAAAAAATTAAAAAAACAACAACTTAGCTTCCAAATAGGCTCATAGGGTCTAGATGTCCCCCAAGGTACTGCCGGAACGTACCCTAGGTACGGTCCGGTATACCGGAACGTACCCTGGTAACTATTTGATATGGTTAGGGTTAGGGAGTAGGTGTAGGCGACTCTCTATAGACTCGTTAGTGGAGTAGGCGAGGTACGGTCCGGCATATTAGATAGTACCAGGGTGCGTTCCGGTATACCGTACCGTACCCAAGGTACGTTCCGGCAGTACCCTGGGGGACATAGACCCTCTCAGCGCCAAATAGAGATCACCAACTTAGTTAGTGTATGTCATAGACATAGAGCTTTAGGCATACATGTGTGGCTAGCAGCTCTGGTAATTATGGATAGGCCTAGACATTTTAGAAATAATAGAATAGCGGTTAGACAATAGTGTCAATACATTCAGGCAACTAGGCCTACCTACGTGAATAATGAATTCCGCTATAACTGAAGACGTAACAATATCACTGACAGTGTCAGTGACGCTCATAGGGTCTATGTCCCCCAGGGTACTGCCGGAACGTACCCTGGATACGGTCCGGTATACCGGAACGTACCCTGGTCACTATTTGATATGGTTAGGGTTAGGGTTAGGGTTAGGGTTAGGGTTAGGATTAGGATTAGGGTTAGGGTTCGGGTTACGGTTAGGGAGTAGGCGTAGGCGACTCCCTAGACTCGTTAGTGGAGTAGGCGAGGTACGGTTCGGCATATAATATAGTACCAGGGTACGTTCCGGTATACCTGACCCTAGGCCCTACCCAGGGTACGTTCCGGCATAGACTGAATAATTCTGTCCCATATAACCTTTTTTATTAATTTTGGTGATGGTTATTGGGACAGAACGGGGTTCATTGAAATTTCGTGAGATCGCATGCAAAA